CCTTTCCAGCAGCAAAAAAGAACCATACAACTCATCAACATACTTAATCTTGACACCCTGAATTGTACCTGAAACCAAAAGAACTAATTCCGACCAAACCCTACTCGAAGAACCAGTATATGCAATTAGCTCTAAAATGGTGTCCATATAAAGTAGTGAATAAACATGCAAAAGGATTTACCTAATCACAGTGATCACTCAGCTGAACTATGCATTATAAATCATCACCTGACCCCATTAATCAAATCCATGAAAAAACAGCAAATCTTGTAAAAAAACAAACAGAAGAAACATAGCCTCAGAAGGAAGGCAGTAGTGGTTTGTATGTGTACTCTTTGGGAAGGTGGATGAAGCTAAAGAGCTTCCAACTAGATTTCAGCCTTCCGTGCCTAAGTATAATGCTCTAATCCATTGGATTATGCAAGGAGGAAAGGATTCTGGAGGTGATTCAGCTGTCATAATGGATTGAGTTATAACCTCACTTACTCAAACAGTTATAACCTCACTTGCAGACAGGTGGAAGGATTGAGTTCCTTTCCTGACAGTAGCTAGCTTAGATAAAGTAGGATCAATTTCTTTGTTTGGTGATATCATATCTGATAATGGCTAAGAGACACCAATCACCGCAAGTCAGTTGGGTGGTGGAAATTGATAGATTGACTGAATGAGGTTTTCCCTGCCCCATTACCTAAATTCTGAAACCCCACAGAAACACACACCCAAATGCAGAAATCAACTCTGAAACCCCAATACAGAAACACACACCCAAATAAATTGACGAGTACACTAAGAAGTCAACCATAGTAAAGAAACTCACCTCACTAACACTAAGCACATTGTTGCTGGGTATCGGTGCTTGAGCTCGTTTTCCCTGTGAGCCTTTTGATTTCATCTTTCCGATAACAGTATCTTTTGTTTCCCTATTGCCTGATATCGAAATCACAGATTCATTACAACCCTACAAGCATATGAAAGAAGACATCAGGAACATAATATACAATAAACATCAGGAACATAATATACAATGAACATCCATGGATTTCCATTATTGAGCTATTCTCAAGATAAACTTCAAATTCCTTTTTTCATTCATTTAGTAGTTCACATTCTGGGTCATGAACAAAATCGCCAAAAACATCCTACACATGGTTTTATACAGCATACAAAAACTCTTATACACACACCATACTCTTACACCAGTTGATGTTCTGGACTCTTCAGCAGGAGCACAGAAAGAATACATCTCGCTGGAATGCCAACTAGCAATCATTCAATCAACTACATTCTTAACCCCAGGAGTTCAACTACTCAGTTAAGCAAACTCAGTAACTCGAATCTCGATAAGAAGCAACATAACACGGGAAAATCTCAATGCAGCTATACTGATTCTGCTACTCAAAGTGTAATAGAAGAAACTGTACATGATAATGGATCCAAACATCAGAATGGGTTCACACTTGATAGGCAATTCGAATTTCGAAACATGAGAAACCAAAGCAAATACAACACAACAACCCAATATGTAACTCTATTCCTACTTGAAAACCCACGGAGGGCAAAGGGATCAGTGGGTCGGTCGCCGCCTTGGTGGAGGTCCGACGGGATCAGTGATTCGAGATTGAATCCAAAAGAGACATACCAAGATTCAAGGATATGAAGAGGGAGGGAGAGAGTACCAGAACGGCGGTGTGACCCGGGATGCGGAGGCCGGCGGAGGTGCGAATTTGGATGTTAGGTCAGGGAAAGAGACTGGGGATGGCGGTGGAAGAACAGAGTAAAGAGTTGGGTGATTGCAAATCTAGGTTGAAGGAGAAGGAGGAGATTCTGGAACACTACAAGAGGCTTTTGGAGGAGAGCAAAGATGCGATGAAGGAGAAGGAGTCGGCGATGAATCGATTGAAGGAGGTGATCGAGGACAGGGATGGAGAGATTCGACGATTGAAGTTGAGGTTAAAAGAGGCGGGTGGTAGTGGCGGCAATGGAATTGGGACAACCGGAGGTAACGAAGAATTGAAAGCGATTAGGGATCGTTTGGTCGCTAAAGAGAAACAGGTGGATGATTTCAAGGCGGCTGTCAAATGCTTTTTCAGGACTGGCGGATCTGGCGGGGAATGGCCGACTGGGTGAGGAAAAAGAATCGCCGCCTGGAGGATTGCAGTTTGCGGTGAGGAAGAAGAATCTCTGCAAATCTACTCGAGCGTTGGTGGTGGACTGGTGGGCAACCTTCAGTAAGAATTACCGGTTTGCGGTTTTGAACCATAACCGTGTGGTTTCGGTCAAACCAAACCGCGAACCACGAACAACTAAATGGTTAGTCCGCAAATGAAACCGATAGTTAACGGTGCGGTTTGGATTGACCGTTGGAGCGGTTTGGAGCGGTTTGGTGTAGTTTGGTCAAACCAATGCCCACCCCTATTTGGCTATATTGTAGTCTTTATAATTGGTTGCAAGAATGGAATTTGTTTAAAGGGATGCATGGGTGGTTCTGGAGGGCAGAAAAACGAATTGAATAGCTTAGAATTAGTGATTGAAGGGTGAATCCATTAGTAAGTGAGCTTTGCCGGTAGCTTGTAATTTCATGATGGACCAACTGAGGACGTGCGGCAAATGTTAGGAGAGGCTGGCTGCATAATTTAGCAAAGGAGAAGGAGACACGAAGGTTGGGGTTAGCGATTTTGGGTTCAAATGGCTTTGGTACATGGATGTTTATCCAGCTGCGTGATTAAAGGGGGTTAGAGTAGTTTTCGTTAGGCAAAATACTATTTTATAGTCACAACTTTCACGTTTGTGATAAATATAGTCACAACTATCGAAATACACAAAATAGTCAGAAAATAGGATGGAATGACAAATCTAGCCATTAAGTAATGCTGACGAAGAATGAAATTATTTTGCCTAACAAAGAATAAAAAATTAACGACGTTAAGTAATCCGCCAGTTAAGTTAACGAAATGCTAACGAAGATGCCACCTTTATCATACACGTCAATGACAAGTCATCATATCTTTGCCACGTCATTATGAGTTATAAAAATAATTATTTTTTAAAATTAAATAAAAAATATTTTTTCTAATTTAGTCAATTTAAACATATTTTTAATTTATAATTAAAATAACAAAAAGAATTTAGTTAATTTCCCCCTCCCTTCCCTTTCTCCGTTTCTTCTTCCCAAGAATTTCCCTTTCTTCCTTCCTTTAACCACAGGCGAATGGGAACGGATTAGGTGAGTAACCATGAGTAAGTAGTAACCCGTCCACATCAGCATGACATCAGCATCTCTCTCTCTCATGGAAAACCTTTAATTTTCCCCTCCTTAATCTTTGGCGGACGATTTCTCACTCGTTTTAAGTCGGAATTTAATTTTTTTTACAGAGTGTGATCAGATTAATTGTGCTCTTTAAAATGATATTCACTTTGATATATTTTTCGAACAAAAAAAATTGATCCATTTTTTACCAGTCTATACCATATGGTATTGACTGATATTGAAATAAGAGCATACCTATGATTTGAAAAGCGTACCATGGTGGTATGAACAAACCAAGGCTATAGGACGGTTGAATACATGATAGTAGAAGTATATTAACTATCATTTACGACTTTTAACATTGTGTACCACAAGATACCACCCCGTACCAGGGTGGTATTGTGTGATATTTTTTGGTCCTGTAATTTGTTCACCCAGAAATTTGTAGATCCAATAGATCATGATGAACTCGTTCCTTCTGTGCAAACGTTTTCAAAAACGAATTAAAACGAAGAAAATACCATATGGTATGCAGTTGGTACCGAGAGGCAATAACTTTTTTTTTCTCAAAAAATATTGAAAATTGATCTCATTTTGTAGAGCACAATGAACTCGTTCCATCTGTGCAAAAAAAATTAAAATCCGAGTTAAAATAAAGAAGATTTGAGCCGATTAAGAAAACTAGGGTAAATAAAAAAGGTCTTTAATTCTCCATCCTTCGATCTGGATTTTCTAAATGAAGGGACCATATTTAGTTATTGATGGGTGCATAACCATATCTTGAATCCCGCCGAATCCAAGCCTGAAGAACTCCCCAACTTACATTGCTTGATTTCACAAACTAAAACAAACCATTTTCCTCACGGGTTTGATTCTTTGATTCCTCCATCGAAGAATCAAACCGATTCAGTCGAGAAATTAGGTTTCTTCTTCTTCTTTCTTTCCAAACCTTGAATCTGATCCATCCATGGCATCGCCGGAGGAGACTGCGTCGGAAGCGGAACTTGGAGTTACGGCAACAACATCCATTTTCGTTGCCCCAAACGCCAACGGGCAACGACGCTGGAAACGATGAAGACACACCTCCCCAATTGAATAAGAAGAAGACCTCCCTGATAACCCTCGTCTACGGATCTGAAGGCTGCAGTGGCGAGGTCCGACTGACGATGGCGGCTGTTGAAACCCTAATTAGACACTGCCTCTGCCGTCAAGCGCAATCATAGATTCTTTCGATCGCTGACTATCCGCCGTCATTCGATCTCCACTGTCGCTAGGGTTGTGGCGGCGGGCGACGCTTGGTGCGGGTGGAAGGCAGGAAAAGAAGAGGAAACAGCAGCGGCAGATCTAGAAAGAGAAGAGGAAGAGAGAAAGAGATGATCATTTCTCGGGAGAGGAGTTCTTTTTTTTTTCTTTTTCTTATCGTCTCGGGAGAGTTGTTAGTGACATACGAGATTTTTTATTTTTGTTTATTTATATTTTATCCACGTGGATTGGTAGGAATAAAATATTGCCAACTCAGCATTTCCATCAGTCCAGTCATATTATTAACTAACATCGTTAAAGAGATAGACGAAAATGGTTATTTTGTGTATTTCAATAGTTGTGACTATATTTGTCACAAACGTGAAAGTTGAGGCTATGAAAGTTATCTTGTCTTTTCGTTATCAGTATATGCAGTTATATTTATGTCATGCATTTCGTTCACACATTATATTTCAGTTATTTCTTACACGCTTTCATGTTAAGCTAAGTTATTTACGTTCAGTCTTTACTTTAAGTGTGCGTAGCATCACGAAGCATCAGCAAACTAAATTTCAAGGCATTCAAGTCTAAGCTGACTTGTGCAAGTTAATAAGTTGGGTCTTTCCATTGTGTGGGAGATCACCAACCTTTTCAAGTATGCAAGCAAGTATGAATTAATTTAATCTCCATTGAGGTAAGTAAGCGTAAGAACTATCAAGTTAATAAGTATGAATAAGTATGAGTGCGTTTAATCCTTGCTTAGCTAGCTATGCACGCGGTACATGATCCCCATTATGTGGGTGTTTTCGCCTTAAATAGGCGCAGGATCCCCATTGTGTGAGTGTTTTGCCTTAGATAGGCACACTTTACACGTTCATGCTCCCCATTATGAGAGTATTCATGTTAGAATATGTTATAACAAGTATTACCAGATGGTTGCACTAGCTAAGTGTAGGACGGGGTCCCATTTGAAGATAAAATACGCAGGACACTTATAAGGTAAACAGAACTGTAAGCTCAATAACTCCTTCTAATGTACCTAAAGCATTGCATATGCATGACTGGCTGATGGTATATGAGAACGAAATTAGGATTAGGACTGACATCATCGTCGGCATTCAAGAATTATAGAAGCTCTAGAAGTACGCTTAAGAAGTCGACAGTTCACCATAATGATTCCAAGGACTCAAGTATGAAGTTAGTTAACTATGGTACTTATGGGGGGAAAATCCCAAAGTACACTAGTTCTTAAAAAAAATTCTCAAAATACATAAGTTTTAAAATAAAATTTCCAAAACTACACATGTTTGGCATTCACCGTTTTTGACAAATGCAATGAATATAATCACCGCGTTTGTCAAAACGGTGAACATTTCAGCGTTTTAAAATAAAACGATGACGTGTTCACCGTCTTTGTATAAAGTGGTGAAGTGTTCACCACATTAAACGAAAACGGTGAAGACATCACCGTTTAAGTTAAAAGCGGTGAAAACGTCACCGTCTTAGGGCAAAGCGGGGAACATCTTCACCGCCTCAGGCTAAGGCAGTGATTATTTCCCACGTTTCTCAACCCTAGTAGGTGAAAATTAGGTCACAACTACCTAATGTTCACCGTTTGAGATAAACGCGGTGATGATGTTCACCGTGTTTGACAAAGGCGGTGAATATTAGCTGATTTTTCTATAAATACCACACCACCAGCAGTTGTAAAAACATAACCACTCCCCCCTCTTCAAATTTCAGCAACCAAAACGGAGCAACTACAGAACAGGAATTTACGGTATGGTTTAATTTTCGTATTAATTCCTAATGGTTGTTTTTAGTAGTTATATTATTATGTTATGAATTACTTATCGTAGCAAATATGGCCGATGTTATGAATTACTGGAATTATGCTAATAGTTACATATTGTAAATTGTAGATATGGGTAAACAAGAAGTTTCAACTTATTATTCGGTGGAATGGAAGGATTACAAACTTTGACATAGGGATTGATTATGAGGACGGTGTATCCACTAAACTGAAAATTGAGTCGCGATTCAATTTTCAAGAACTCTGTGATAGGGATTGCCTTGTCATGAATTTGGAATAAATTTGGAATGTGGTCCAATTAGAAAGTTGACTAACATAACATGGATAGTTCAACGACAATGCAAACTCAAATCAGAAGACCGAAAAATTCAAATAAATGCGGATAGTTCACTACAATGACAAAACACTAGAATGATCAAAGAAAGCACGGATAGTTCACTGGTTGTCTTCATTTGGTTGCCCCTCATTTTGGCCCCCATCTCGCCCTCCACCTCGTCCTCCACGACGTCCTCGACCCCTTCTTCCACCTCCTCCTTCTGCTTCTTGGTGGGCTCGCTCAACGACTTGTCGCGGATGTCTCTTAACCCGAGCCCCTACTGGAGTTACAAGTGGCAGTGGAGGTTGCTGAGATGGACTGGTAGCCTGCTGGTAGATCGGGCGGTGAGGGGTTTATTGATGCGGGGTGTGATACATCGGAGTCTGTTGCTGATGGTGGAAATGAGGGAAAATGTCTGGTTCCTGAGATGAACCTCCAGCGACATCCGGTGCAGGTGCCCACTCGTACTCAAATGGTTCAGGGAGCTCGGTTGCTTGAGTTGTACGCACCTCTTCGAAAGTAGGCAGAGGCCTGCGTTTGCTCCTTCGTGGGGGCTCAACCGGGGGCACAATGGGCTCACCATCACGGAATGATGGGCGTGCCGGAGCGGGAATGGGAGGATAGGCCACGACATCCATCCTTTGCTCTCGGGTACAACTTAAGAGGTTGTTCATAAGCCTTCGCAGCCAAGAAGTTTTGCGCTCATCCATGGTTGGAGCACTATCGAGGGTGTGTTTGGCGTGTTCCAAACCATCAACCTAAGCAATCCCCATAATAAAACAAAATTAATTAAACCTTAAAACAAAATAATTAGACTCACGATGGAGATTAGGATGACTTACCAACAAACCCATCACAGCACCTTGCTTTGACACCCATCTATTGGTGAACTTCCGATACCACTACATGTACCCATCGTGGTAGCCCATCGGTCTCGTCTCCGGCATCCCTTGGACCACCCATGTCCCTCTATTCTCCCAGATGTTGATGTAGTACTGATGCTTTAGGATCCAATTCTTTGAAGCGTGTCAGAGGTCGATGGCATGGAGCTCCCTGAAACCTTGAGGCGGGGTTTGTGGAATTGGTTGCTCCATTCGATATTGCCTCAAGGATCGATCGGGCAGGTGCCACTCCACGACGTGCCAACAGATCAATGGCACCTTGCACAACCACGTCTCGTGATCCAGAGGGTTTCTAAGATGATGCAGTTCGACCACTTCACGTGGATATGGATCCAAAGTAACCTATATTCATTCAAATAATGCAATTAGCGACCATTTACATTGAAAAACCTTAACTTGTCAAAATATGATAAAGCATGATTACCTGATTCCACCAAGGCTTATCTAACTCAGAACGATAAAACAGTAATGAATGCTCAGGTTGATGGTCATTCGTATTTGCTCCTATCCACCTTGTAAGTAAAAGCATGGAATAAATTTAAATTAGGTTAAGTACGGATTAAATTCAATTTAAATCTAGCTAAGCATGGAATAATTTTAAATTAGGCTAAGTATAGAATAAATTCAATTTAAATCTAGCTAAGCATGGAATAATTTTAAATTAGGCTAAGTACGGAATAAATTCAATTTAAATCTAGCTAAGCATGGAATAATTTTAAATTAGGCTAAGTACGGAATAAACTTACTTGACACCGTAGGGGGATTTGCAGAAAGTTTAGCTCATCATCGGCTCTCTGGTATGGACGTGGGTCTAGAGGTGCGAATATTGGAAGATGCTCCCATACCCACAGCTGTAGGATAACATCGCAGCACCATCTTGTTTTGCTCCCACCTTCGAGCAAGTGCACAGCACCCGGTATAGGCCAGCTAACACGGCCGATCCCCAACTCTTTTCCTCGATTGCGTCCCAGTCACTAGTGAGCAATGGCAACTATATGCCTTGAATCCACCGGTTTGACTTGTCGGGGAACAGAAATTCACCCACCAAACCAACGAGGTATGAGGCTCTAAAACACAACACCTAACAAAGGCCAAGTGTAACCAATGAAAGGGACTACAGTATAGTGGCTCAAGTGATAAATATCGAATCCACGGGTCTCTAGAGTTACTATTACTCAGCTTCAGTTTATTATTTAGCAAATCAGATTAAGATGAAAGAACTAAAACTACTCTAGCAAACTACAGTTAAAGTTAATCTAATTACAGGTTGGGAACTCACTTAGGTATGATTCCCCCTAGCCACTAGCCAGATTAATGATTGATGATCTCTAACCCGTTTCACTTTCATTCACAATGCGGAGAATCCTTGACTAGACCTTGAGTCTCGACTAAAGGAACAAGGCCCTCTTGAGTCAATTGCCTAGAGGGACGTATCCTTCTCTAGAACAACTGATCAAGGCGTTCTGAACTAGACTCCCTCTATCGAAAGAGGTTCTCAATCGATACAAAGCAGTGAATCAACCCTTGACTAAAGCAATCGATCCACTACTATCAATCTATGGTGCTCTATTGACCTAATCAGGTATTCCCTCTCATAGGATCAAAGCAGAATCAATAATCTCGACTAAAGCAGAATTGAATCATGAAAACATGCATAGATTGAATATGAACTCAAGATTATCAAGTCAGAGTACTCATACAATCATCCAATCAAACAAACATAGCTAGGGTTCCTCAAAACCTAAGTGAAGGGAAGTTACTCCATAGAGAAGAGAGAGACTGCAGTAAGAATCTTCAGATGATCAGTCTTCAAGTCCGGGCTTGTTCCTCAAGCTTCCAAGGCGAATAAATCCTCCTTCTCTACTCCAAGAATGCCCTCAAATCGCCCTCTCTCTCTTTGGTTCGTCCCTTGGGTGTTTGGGATCCAAAAACCCAGCTCTCCTCCTCTTTGGTTCGGAATTTGGCTTAAAACCAGGAAATCCCGACTCACACGGGCAGGGCCACACGGCCGTGTGGCCTACCCAGTTGCCCGTGTGAGGCAAAACGCACCGTATCACTTAGTCGAATTCCAGGCTTCTCACACGGCCAGAGTGGCACGGCCGTGTGTGACTTCCATCTGCCCGTGTTTGCTCTCGGCAAAACTCGCACGGCCAAGCCACTCCTTCACATGGCCGTGTGTGTTGTCAGGGCAGGCCGTGTTTGCTCTCGCACAATCTCACACGACCAGAAATATGAGTTGCACGGCCGTGTGATTTGTGGGTGTGCCCGTGTGGCCTCCTTTGTGACTTGCCTCGCGCCCGATCTTCGCCCAATCGACCCCGAGCTCGCTCCTAAACCTTCATTCACTTGCCAGGACCTGAAATATCACAAACAAGCACAACCTAGCGTGAAATCGGTCTATAACACGAGAAACCACATCTCAAACGGTGTAAGAACAGGGGTAAAAACATGTGTAATTAACGGTCTATCAAACTCCCCCACACTTAACCGTTTGCTTGTCCCCAAGCAAACCTAACTCAAACCAATGCAGCTCTCCAGACCTCTATAGCAACAAACAACCCAGATCGTAGGTAGAGGACTTCCTAGATCATTTAGCAACTTACGAGGTCAACCAACGCACAAGTCATCTCATAGCTTCTTCGGCGAGAGCACTAGTATCGAGTCGGCATTATGGAAAATAGTGAACAGAGGACAAATGAATTGTGGATGAAGAGATTCTCAAAAACAAAAGATCATGGACTCACATTTTTCAAGGTGCTCTCTTTTTTTCTTCTTGAAGATGGTTGGAACCCCTTTTCTTTATGTTTTGCTTGTTTTCTGTTATTTTTTTCTTTTCTTTTTTTTTCCAAGGGTCCCAACCTGCTCTTACCGGCCATGCCAGGAGCGGATGTCTCGAGCCTCGTGCGGGGGAAAGACATGTAAGGGGGCTGGAGGTAGTAGGTGGAAATTGGGAACGGATTCCCGTCTCCCCCTACACACTTTCGCCCTATTCGCACGGGAGACGTTATTTTGAAGCACATTTTCGAGCACCTGTTAAACTTAAAACATGATACAAGAGTCCATGACAGGTAGAGAATCCACAACACCACACAATTCAAGGGTCCTAAGATCACTAATTCACTCAATCAACCAACTCAATATGAAGAAGAAATGAGACTTCTTAAATGCATCAACATCCTCCATAGTGCTACACTACCTCCCTAGGTTGCATATTACTATAAAGACTGTCAATTCAAAGCATACTGAGCAGGCAATTGCAAGGAACACGTGCTTGGAGCCCTCAAATTTAAAAATTTGGACAGTGGACTAGGCTCCAAGCACACAAACAGCCAAACATTCACCCGCATACATAATCGAACATCCCCCCACACTTAAGCACGACATTGTCCTCAATGGAGGAAAGATAAGGAGGGTAGAACGAAGTTACCAGATCAAGGGTGAATGATGATGAACGGGTCAGGCGGTGCCATCCAGAAAGAGAGAGTAATCAGAACACAAACACCACACAAAATCTCACAAAGCTTGAGTTATTGAATCTAAAATCAAATAGCAAAACTGACTCAACCGAGGAGAAATAGAGACAGAAATGCAAACCGACTGGTTGGGTTGCCTCCCAACAAGCGCTTCTTTCACGTCGTGAGCCGGACGATGGCTCCTAGGTTTCGGTCCATGCTAGAACCTCCTTGAAGTTGAGGTTCTCGTCGATGAGGTGGAGTCTCAAGTCACGAGCATGTGGTGTGGCAGGTGATGAAGGCTCATGTACTTGATGCAGATGAAGTCTCCACCCTCGAGACCTCTCCTTCTCTTCTCTCGTCTCATTGCCCCAAACCAGATATGACAGCATCGATTGGCCACCATCGCGTCCACCAAGAGGGACCGATGTCGAGGTGGCCTTGGTCTGGCAAAGAGACACTGCAAATGGGTCCTTGCTAAGCAGTTCCTCGAAGTTTGGTGGAGATATCACATGTAACTCATGGCCAGTGCAGGCCTCTTCCACCTTAACTCCGTCCTCAGCCTGGACGTCAATTGCTTCTTCAACCCCCCTTTCTTCTTCATGTGGTATCACCCCTGGGAAATGATCAAGAACTCCTCCTGCTTCACTTTCGTCATCCTCCACAACTTCTTTCTGTACCCTTTGTTGCTCTTCTTCTTCTAGCACGGATTGGAGAGCAAGTTGCCAAGCAATTTCTTTCATGAGATCTTCTTGCAACTCCTCACTCATGCCCGCCTCTTCAAAGCGCAGTTTGGGGTGTGGGAAGGTGTGGTCGGCTACGACAGGACACTCCTGATCATGATCATCACGGGAGCTCTCCGTGACAACTTCAGTGTGCTCCACAATGTCCTTGTAGCCTTCTTCTTCCTCCTCCTCTTCTTGTATGGTAGCAGAAGGGTGATCTGGAGCAGGCTGTGCCCAAGATCGCTCAAGATCATCGACGCTCTTCTTAAGGCTCAGGAGGATCTCCTCTGTTTCACGATAGGCCTGGACACAATGATCCATCCTGGAGCATGTTCTATCACAGTCTCGAGCAAACTGCTCCATGAGAAGTCTCAATTCATAGTGTGGATCTGGCTGTGGAGTGTAGCATGGCTCTGCAAAATGGCCCGTGAAGGCCTCCATGGGTAACTCCAGCTCCAATGGCCCCTCTGGTTGTGGGAAAAATTCTTCTTGGTAATGAGGTTGTTCTTGATATGCCCAGGGATCCGGTTGTTCTCCGTAGTAAGGGGGTTGGTACTGGAACCCGAATCCATAGTCTTCTCTTCCTTGATTGCTCCAGGGAGTCTCGGGGTAATACCACTCAGGTGGTGGTGGATACCCCCAATGATTGGAGAAGTCATTAGGATCCATGATTCAGATCTGCACCAACAAAAACAAAAACACCCAAGTGGAAAGCAAGGGTGGAAAAGAAAAGAAAAACGCTAAAGTAACAAACTTCTGCCTTTCCTAATACTCTAGAAAGTCCCCGGCAACGGCGCCAAAAACTTGATGCTCTAAAACACAACACCTAACAAAGGCCAAGTGTAACCAATGAAAGGGACTGCAGTATAGTGGCTCAAGTGATAAATATCGAATCCACGGGTCTCTAGAGTTACTATTACTCAGCTTCAGTTTATTATTTAGCAAATCAGATTAAGATGAAAGAACTAAAACTACTCTAGCAAACTACAGTTAAAGTTAATCTAATTACAGGTTGGGAACTCACTTAGGTATGATTCCCCCTAGCCACTAGCCAGATTAATGATTGATGATCTCTAACCTGTTTCACTTTCATTCACAATGCGGAGAATCCTTGACTAGACCTTGAGTCTCGACTAAAGGAACAAGGCCCTCTTGAGTCAATTGCCTAGAGGGACGTATCCTTCTCTAGAACAACTGATCAAGGCGTTGTGAACTAGACTCCCTCTATCGAAAGAGGTTCTCAATCGATACAAAGCAGTGAATCAACCCTTGACTAAAGCAATCGATCCACTACTATCAATCTCTGGTGCTCTATTAACCTAATCAGGTATTCCCTCTCATAGGATCAAAGCAGAATCAATAATCTCGACTAAAGC